AAGACAAAAAAACATATATAAAAAAGTTAAAAAATAAGAATACAATGGTTAAAATTTCACACCATGCATACTGTTAAAGTGGGGCTGGATACTAATCAACAGCCCCAGGCCAGCCGGAACAGCCAGGTCTTAGTAGCTTTACGGAAGGCTGGAAGAGTAGTGAGGGTCCGGATCTCTACGGGAAGATCGTTCCATGAACATGAGTACATATCAATGGGGACAGTAAGACAGGGACGGAAGGCGCCTTGGTGCATTCATGCACACCCCCTTAGGGACCTCCTAGGAAACGTGTGAGGTCCACGGTGGAAAATTTAAGTTTAAAGATATGGAGGTTTGAGGAGCTAACAATGGAATCAGGTAGAATGTTCCAGGCATTGACCACCCTATTGCTGAAGTCGTATTTTCTGCAATCAAGTTTGGAGCGGTTTACTTTGAGTTTGTATCTATTGTTTGCCCGTGTATTATTACGGTTGAAGTTGAAGTAGTTGTTGACAGGTAGGAAGTTATAGCAGATAATTTTGTGGACTATGCTCAGGTCGGAACATAGGTGGCATAGTTTGAGGTTGTCCAGGCCTAAAATTTCAAGCCTGGTGGCATAAGGTATTTTATTGTGAGCAGATGAGTCAAGTCCTCTTCTTGTGAAATACCTCTGGACCCTCTCTATTGTATTAATGTCCGATATACAGTATGGATTCCAGGCAGGTGCGCAGTATTCAAGGACTGGTCTAGCAAAGGTTTTATATGCCCTAGTTAGCAGTAGAGTGTTACCAGAGGAAACACTCCGTAAAATAAGGTTGGCAACTCTTACTGCCTTTGTGGCAATGTTGTTGCAGTGACCTCTGGGGCTTAAGTCTTTTGAAATGAGTCCTCTTGGGTCCTTGACAGAGTGTGGGTCATCTATTAGGTCGTATCTGCCCAGCTTGTATTTGGTGCTCTGGTTTTCGTTGCCAATGTGTAGCACAGAGCATTTGTTAGCAGAGATAAGAGGACAAACCCATGTTCGCTTCTAGTAATAACTTTCCCGGTTTCTAGATCAACTGCTTCACTATCTTTTCCAGGATCTTCCCAGGTATGGGAATATGTGAGGCTAAGTGGTCTGTAGTTTCCTGGATTCGGGGGGGGGGGGTGTTGTTTTTTTGGAAGAAGAGAACAACCCAATTTTTTTCAAGTCTTCTGGTAGTTCTCTGGTACTCCAAAGTCTTTGAAAGCTATTATTCAGTGATTCTGAGAGCACATCTGGCAGCTCCTTCAGAACTCTGGGAAGTAATCCATCTGGCCCCTTGTCATCCGAATTCTTCCAGAGTAGACAGCTGTTGTCTTACCATTTTGTTGCCTATTTTGACTTGTATTCCTATTCTGTCCCCCATGGTATCGCTTTGTACAAAGGAGGATTCCCCTTTGCATAAAAGAAACTTAAGCAGTCCCACTTTCTCAGTACTGCCCATCACCTGGGCCCAACCGGCTTGATATAACTCATTCACAAACCATAATCACAGGATGGCTTAGCATGATGAGTGAACTCAATCGTGGATGCTCTGAGAGGCAGATATTATTCAAGAAAAAATGTAGTATTGTAGTAAATACTAAAGTACAAGTAATCCTCAACTTACAACAGTTCATTTAGTGACCATTCAAAGGTACAATGCTAAGAAGGGACTTACGAACGTTTTTTCAGTTGTGACTTTTGCAGCAGCCCCATGATCATCTGATCAAAATCCAGATGATTGGCAACCGGTTCATAGTTATGACCGTTGCTGTGATCCCCTTTTGCAACCTCCTCACAAGCAAAGTCAATGGGGAAGCCAAATTCACTTAACAACCTGGTTACTAACTTACCAACTGCACTTAACAACTGTGGGAGGAAAGGTCGTAAAATGGGTCAAAGCTCACTAAACAAATGTCTCACTTAACAACAGAAATTTGGGGCTCAATTGTGGTTGTAAGTCAAGGACTACCTGCATTACATTGCACAGAAACTTACTAATGGCCATAGTGCACAATTTCCTTGCCTGTAACTTTCTAGACCCATTGAATGATTTCAGTAGGAAAGCTATTGGAGAATATGTTCTGAGTAGAATTTCCTTTCTCCCAAACTTCCCTGTTCGGCTCTGCAAATTTTAAAGCTGGTATAGGAAGCCTCTGGTCCTCCAAATGCTGAACTATATTTTCCAACAATCCATCCAATATTGTGAAAAAGGATAATAAAATCAGCATCATCTGTTGGACCACTCTCTGTCTCTCCATGAACAGTTTTCAGTCCATATGGTCTAGTTGAAGGCTGGACTGCAGAATTTTGTTTTAAACAAACAAAATGATATTACTAAAACCAGAACTGGTGTTAATCTTCCATAATCTATTTTGAACATTTGGGGATGGCTAGACAGATAAAACATATCTTAAAAACAGTTCATTTTAAAACACAGCTCTGAAATCTAGTCATCTCAACCTGCATAATTGGTTAACGTGCTGTCCACAATTCAGAGGCAGATGATTATGGGAAAAAAAATCTTGACAAATCTGCTAGCAAAAAAGAAATCCAGATAACTAATGAAGAACAATTTAGATCCAGAGCACTATCAAGTGTTTTTTTTTAAATTATCATCTAAAAAAAATGTATCTCTATCTAAACCTATTTTATTTGCTAGGATTAAAAGGTTAACATTATTGACTCTCTTTTCACTCTATGACTGTTTTGATCATTAGTGATGCTTTCTAATTTGTAAACAGGCAAAATAACTTGCCCCTGGAGGGGAAAAAATGAGAACATTTCTTGGCCTGCTGTAAGTGTGTGGGTATCCTATGGGAAAATGCTGTTTTGAAACTTGTCAGAAGCATAGATGGTTTATCAGAATATTTCCAAATGGCAATAAATTACTTTTTTTGATTCATTTTAATCACAAGCAAGTTTAAAGGGTATTTAAAAGCTACATATCTAGTAGATAAATATTGTATTTGTGATCAAGATAATTCTTGTTCCAATTAAGTCAAAAATAGACAGAATAAAGTATAGATTCTCATGTGATCAGATTTCTGATCTTTCATTGTCTAACATTACCCATAGAGGTGGGTTGCTAATCTTTTTACTAGCGATTTAGGCGTGCTTGCGCGCACGACACTTCTGCACATGTGCAGAAGCATCCAGGCGGGTGGGTGGAGCCTCCCGCTGCCGCTACTACTGGTTCGGCCAATTCGGGCCGAACCGGCAGCAAGCTACCTCTGGTTACCCACAGTTAGAAGCTTTTTTTAAATGAAGTAATTCACTTAGGATACCAGAAGTTTTTTGCCTGAAGCACTTGTGAACTTACTCTAGTACAGTGTTTCTCAACCTTGGCAACTTGAAGATGTATATATATATAAAGCAGTGTTTCTTAACCATGGCAACTTGAAGATGTCCGGACATCAACTCCCAGAATTCCCCAGCCAGCATTCGCTGGCTGGGGAATTCTGGGAGTTAAAGTCCGGACATCTTCAAGTTGCCAAGGTTGAGAAACACTGCTCTAGTATCACTTTTGAGTTCTGCACCAACCATNCTCTCTCTCACACACACCTGCATTTCCTTCACCTCCCCCACTTCTGACAACATCCTCGGATCCT